TTTATTTTATTTTATTTTATTTTATTTTATTTATAAAATAAAATAAAATAAAATAAAATAAAATAAAATAAAATAAAATAAAATAAAATAAAATAAAATAAAATAAAATAAAATAAAATAAAATAAAATGAAACGAAATGATGAAATAAAATAAAAAATAAGATAAAATAAAATAAGATTAGGAAAAGTATAGACAAGAATATAAAATAAAAAAGTTAACATAGATTAAAATAAATATCTTAAGTAAAATCAAATAAAAGGAAATTAATTACAAACAAAAAAATTACATGAAAAAATACTTTAGTTTTAAATATTTAATAAAGAGTTACACATTTTTTACTTTCAGTTCGTTGGATTTATATTTGCTTGCTGTTTGGCGAATAATATTCGCAACTACAGACGTCGCTCGGCCTATTGAGCGTAGTGAGCGTGCTCTACAAAAATTCGAATAATTTTGCAAATATGTGTGTATTAAAAACAGCAAAAATGGACGTAAAATTTATGATGAATTAAGGCAATGAAACCCCCTCGAAATTTACAATTAATGTACAATAAAACGGATTTTCTAGGCCAGCACAGAGTTACACATACATATTTACATATATATTATTATGTTAGTGATTTCTTAAGCACAACAAAAAAGAAATAATTTAAAAATACATATATTTTCACATAGTATGTACATATCGCACATTTAAAAATATACAGATTTATTTCGAAATTTAAATTTTGTGGGAAAACGCAAAGTTTGATCAATTCATACAATTGATATACGAATCCACATATGGAGAGACACATATCTTGGCTATTTTATTATATGATGAAATCTCCAAAAACGTAAATTTTGATTTACATCTCTACATTATTAAACGTGCGATATATACATATATATGTATACATATGTATCTTAAAATTTTGAAAAAAATTCAACCGAAATCTCGAATATATGTAAGTATGAGTTAAAATCATCTACAAAGTAAATTTGTATAAATATCGAATCAGGACTCCATACTACAATGTAAAGATATAATTATAATAAAATGTTTTGTAAAATACTTATGTATCTTTGCACATGCTAAGTTTTTTGTATTAAAGATTCATATTTCTACAAATTAGTTTACAATACCTTTATGCATGGATGTATGTATGTATATATGCTCAATGTCGCAACGGCCTGCCTTAAATATTTATACATGCAAGTACATGAATAAAATTTACAAATTTGTACAAATGTATGCATAAGGTACTTATATAAGCCACATCACAATGATTATTAAGAAATAAATTTGTTTAACAATAATATTATACGTAAATACGAATTATTTTATGAGCACCGAACGATTGTGTTAGCAAGCACTATGTAATTTTTTAATTATTTGCACACGGAAACAAAATATCGCATTTGCTTATACATACTCCTACGCAGGGTTCGTACTACTGGGACTCAGTTCAGTAGTAAGTGAATAGATAAACCGGACTAAAAACCAAGTTTTCTTAACAGATTTGTTTTTTTCTTGGTGAATTTTAAGACATTTTTAGTATAAATCCTAGCGAAGAATAAGTAACCTCGGTTTCGGTCTCAGTGAGCACTTCGTGAAAACCCCGACGTGCAAAGTCGCAACGTGTTTTTCTCCGTGATGAAAAGACTTTTGACAGGTCCAATAAGAACTCATACTGCGACACTTAACGCCTAAAATCGTAGTTATTAAACCTCCCGAGGAGTTCACTTGGGAGGACGCCAGTTACCGTTTCAGGCAAAAAGCTTTCTATTCGGTGATACCACTATACGTATTAAGAACTAAATATGCCGGAGTGCGCGGAGCTGCCACTTAATTTAAGCTAATCTAAATAAGTTAATAAGCTAAATATTTAATAATAGATCGCCGCCAAAATAGGGTAGAGAGTACCGGAAAACTGCCCAGAAAACCTGGAAAATATCGACGTACAGTGGTCGGAGGGCTTCTGTTTTCGCGAAAAAAGCATATTTTAAAACTGTGATAAATTAACCGGAATAAATCTATTATTATTCATAAATGTCCAAGGAACTCAAAACTGATTAGTATTTTCAAAAGTATCTGCTTAGCAAGCCGTTTAATCCGCTTAATTCAACGAATTCCATCGTCGTTATAAGTTATAAGTTATAAGTTGATAGTTTTCTTAAATTTTCTTTTATGGAAACTTTCAATTATAACAGTAACTGGTAGTTTGGTGTTACTTCTTAAACATGGAAATTTATAACTTCATAAAACTTGGTTGCTATTTTTCTGGCTTATTTTTCAAGAAATAGTTTCTTCCAAAAGGGATAACTAATGAGTAGGACCGAGTAGAATCTTCATTCCTTTACCAAGAATGAATGCAAGGGCCCCTTAAGGATCTACGAAAAGAAAATCTGCGCATACTCGCGCCAATAAGAGTGGCGGCTATTTTTATTTCACTACCAACTTTAGCAGTTGTTCCAAATAACATAAAGTGCATTAAAATATTACAGATTTTATGTAATTTATTCCATATTTAGCTTCATATTATTTATAAGATGTGTCTGAAGTCAATTTTCGAAAATCCAATAGCGAATCCAATATGGCGTTCAAGAACTCAAAACGTTACTGAATTTTCGAGAAATTTGGTATTTACAGGTTTTAAGGTTCGCTCATTACAAATTTCAAACTAGTTTTCGAAAATTCAAAATGCAAAATCCAATACAGCGTCCGAAATTTCCAAAAATTCAAACATGAATAACTTTATTTAAAAATAAGAAAAACGAAGTTTTGCAAATGACAAATTTCGTATAAAATAAAAAAATCAAAAAAAAAACTGTTGAGGCCTGGATCAAATTGTTTGGGCTGAACATAAAGTAGACGGCCCGAACTATATCTAATTTATAAATATAATTACTGTTATTATTTCATATTATTGTCATAAATTCATTTTAGATATGTTGGCTCGTATATAATAAATCAAATTTTGCTAAACAAATATTAGGTTCTTTCCCGTACACAACGCGGGAACCCGCCCAAAATAGCCCAGAAATCATTCCCGTACTCAACAAAATAGGTAAAAGAGAGCGAAAATTGGAACGTATTGGATCGTAAGTGTCTTCTTCTTCCTGCCCGAAACAGCCCGGACTTTTTCTCCGGGTAAAAATGTAAAAAGCGTCAAAGTGCATATCAGCTGTTTTGTGTTTACATGTTGCCTGCATTTACTTGGTGCTTTTAAGAAATAGTGAATGTATTTTCAATCTTTATATTCTTAAAATAAAACGTGTGAAACCAAAATTCAATTTCCAAGAGTTTGCATTTAAGTGACAACAACAAAAACAACGCGAATAAGCTGTTTCTCAAATTCTGGGCACAAAATGTGGTTTTTTGCGTTCCCGTACTTCTGGATTATGTTCCATTTTTGAGAGCAAACTTTTCGCTTATTCTCTAATTACCGGATCCGGTCCGGATTGTTAGGGAAAGAACCTATTGTGATACTCAACTGAAAATGACAGTTTATTTGACAGTTGTCAACCGAAAAAGTTTGAATGTGATATAGAAATCGGGATAAGTGAGCTTTAAAACATAATACGTTTAATCTTTGGGAAATGTTCCTTATTTTTATAGACAGTTGTAAGCTCTTAAGGTTTTAATTTGACGTAAATTAGTTACTGGCGTGTCTAAAACCCTTATCAGTAAAATCTTATAAAATATTTGCTTATTTTTACAAAAAATTAACAGTTTGTTTGACGTTTTCGACATCATACATATAGCATGTGATCGATAAAGCAGCCGTTGTACTTAAGCGGAGCTTCTACCTCCGATTTGTGTTAATCAAACATTGAACAACCGGCCCTTATCGACACCGTGTTATATGCATGGAGTCGAAAACGTCCATAACGATGTTAACCGGTGATTAGTGTTAATCAGGCTTTGAGCAACCGGCCCTTAATGAGGAAGTGCACATTGATAGAAAGTAATCACAGTTATTCTATGATTTTCCGCACATATAATTTGTGCAAGTATATATTTTTTTTAATCCAAATGGGGAATTACCCAGAGCTATTGATTTCTGCTTACAACTTAGGGCCGGTTGCTCAAAGCCTGGTTGACACTAATCATCGGTTAACATCGTTATCGACGTTTTCGACTCCATGCATATAACATGGGGTCTAATAGGAGGTAGAAGTTTTTGTTAAATACTGCTTTATCGATCACATGTTATATACATGATGTCGAACACGTCGAAAATGATGTTTAACCGGCAAGTAGTGATAACCAGACATTGGACAACCGGCCCTTAAAATTCAATTCTCGAAAAAAAACTTGAGCACTAATAAGCAATCAAGATTGATTGCAACATTAAAAGCATTTACTTACTAAATACTCTGACAAGCATGCAATAAATAAAATTTTACTAGAATTAAGCAATCTTATTAAAATTGATAAGATTTTTTTTCAATTTGAGTAAGTATGCATGTGTGCAAGTAAAATTATTTAAATAAAATAATTGACAATTAGGTTGGTATATGTAATTAAATCATACATGTACATTGGGTTGCGAAATTCTACATACATATGTATGTATGTATGTACCAAATTTTTTTCGTTTAGGATGACAATTACTCAGGGTCAGCGTATGGTTAACTTAAAATTGATTAGTAAAGGTGGACTACTTTCCTCACGAGTTCACTCGGTGTCATCTAGGCCAAAAGAAAACCATTTCTCTAAAAAATTGTTTCCAACATGTCCATCAGTGCCGCATTGGTCCGGGACCTCGAAGATAATGAGAAATCTGAAGTGCTTTCTTCGTAGTGCGAGGCATTTGCACAAGAGGTAAATAAGGGAATCTACCATCGGAATGAATATCGCTTTACGAGGATCCGGACCTGTCAGCCAACTGGTCCCTTATGAAGCTGCTGTTAGATCTAATCTGGACTTTTCCTTAATTTGTAAGAGCAATGATCTCAGAGAGGATTGTGCCTGGAGAAAAGAGGTGTACCTAAAAGCCTTACCTGTACCTTAAAATTAATAAATGTTTTTACGCATTTCTTACAGAAATACAAAGGGAACATGTCTGTACTATCCCATCCTCTACACAATTTTGGGATTTCACTAACATGATTACGCAGCTTGACGTTGAGCATAACATCTGGCTCTGATCGCATTGGGTATAATCTCTTCAAGCCCTTCAAGTATCTTCACGCTTCTGAAGTATTTTTACGCAAACACTTACTATAACTATATGTCAGGATCGCGCATTCGTTTAGTGTAAGATGCTTCTGGAAAACGCAGATGGCATTGATACATTTGGCCTTACCCGCAAAACCATTTAGCGGTGAAGGGGGCAACGGCGAAGTACTCTCAAAATAAAAGAATATCAGCTTATTGGGAGGTCATATCATTGTTGGAAGCTCATGATATCGAAGGTGTAGAGAATTTTACTTACTTATATAGGCATCAACATGCACCAATATTACATATACTAATGTTAGCCAGGGTTCTTATCCACCAGTGCTTATTTGGGCTCGGTCGAAAAAAAAAGAAAGCCGGCTTTCAAAAATCTTTAATAATTCTGGTCTTTAATATAGCGCAGATATGTACGTGGACGATGCCTTACACAGAAGAAATAACAAAGTTATGTAC